TGAGGTTTATGCTAGGGCTGCGTTTATTCGATAGCGGCTCACATTCTTAAAATTCCTGTGTTAGTTACAAGTTGTGCCCAGTGTTTCATTTAATCCTTGAGTATTAATGTACGCCGCAATTTTTAGAGTAGAGGAAGGTGTTTATTCAAGACCAGTGTTTATGGGTAATTTTGCTCTCATCTGCTGCGCTTAATCGCGTGTATACGGTATGCATTGTTTCCTGACCCAGATGACAGCATCTGACGCTAAGCACGAATTATTGACGAAAAGACAACACTGAAGGACTGATAAAAGAACGTGAATAGACTGTAGTTACAATGTACAACTTAAGGAACTTTTGGGTGGGGATGTGTCGCTGGGACCCTTGAACCCTTAACCGATACCAAAGCTAGTTCAGCTGAATTTCGCTACCCTATACTAGAGTAAACTCCCCAAATCCCCTCTATCTTATAGTAGCTTTTAGGCTGAGTTGCGTAACTTTAACTTGCCGATTTGATTCTTTGATATCTTTGGGTCGGTGGCAATTTTCTAGTCTATACTGTAATCTTCAACCAATTGATCAGTTTCCTTGAATTGATACCCTACTCTAGACGCAAACTCTCAGATTCATATACCCTATCTCAGAGTAAACTGCTTGAAAACCATACCCCTCACAGCGGCACATACCTTTATAGCCTACATATGGCAGTAACCGCCCCCGGGCCGATTTGCTAGCCCTAGTGTAGCCGGCGCTGGTTTTTTAGAGTTTAGGGAGAAATTTTGACGCGTGCGCGTATGAAGTGTTTTCCCGTCACTCGCTCTCTATCAAAACCAACCAAAACCCTATTTAACGGGCACCTGCCACGCAGGCTACCGGTTTGCTCTCTCTTTATTGTCTATAACAAATAATCAGAGAATTCTCTCGTATCAGTGCCAGGCCCTCAGATAGTAGGGACGTCGCGAAAACAAGGTCAAGTTAAAAATGGATGATCTCTGCACACAACTTGTTGAGGCTAATCCTCAACAATAGAACAATCTATTTCCTAAGTCCGCTCCAATCGACCCGTTCCAATCTTTTTAGTTTCAATAACTTCCAGCATGCTGTGCGCGGGCGCCTCCTTGTCGTTGTGAAACACCGTGAAACAAACCCACGTGCTCCGGATCGGGAATTACCTGTATTAAACGCGTAAGTGCTGAGTTCTCATTGTTTGGTTTTTACTAGACGGCAAAGTTTAGTAAGCCAAAATGAGATTCCCAGCGTAACTTGTTGTGTTGTTCAAGAAATGTGCCGACGCGTGGAAGTCTCGATTTAAAAGGGCGCACCAGTCAGTTCGAAATATCGGGGGTTTCGAAAAGTCGAGGGTTCGAAATTCGGAGGAAAAGTTCTGATGTCTGACCAAACAAATCCAAGGGAGACGACTGCCTTCTCTCTTCCCTCGATCATTACTGTATGTACTACCTCAGTGTGGTCGGTACACAGCGCATTTTCGATCAAATGAATAAATGAAAATAAATATATGAGCTAGTTATTAATTCCAAAAACAACGTTCTGGATTACAATTGATAATTAGAAAAAGTTGGAAAGACACCTATTAATAAAACAGCGTTTTAAACGTTCAGTCCTACTTTAAGGAAGTACATAGGAGTGAGTGAGAGACCATGATTCCTTATTTTACTGGATGGGAGGAGATAAAAGGGTCCTCAGACGCTCTTCAATAACTTATATTTTTGTCTGAGGCCATTTAATCGAAATGGGCGTGACCTCTTTAAGAAATCCAAAACAAACTGCTCTCTCGTAAAACTTATCTTTTTATAAACATTCTCATCATAACTTGCATACTGAAATGCAAAAGGTAAAAAGAGGTATACAGTGGAACTCGGTTAATACGGACACCAAGGGGACATGCCATAGTGTCCGTATTATCCGGGTGTCCGTATAAAGCGGGCTCTCAGAGAAAACGTCAGGGACACATGCTTTATCGATACAAACACCAAAGCAGACAGTTTTACGAACCAAGGATGGGTAGAAGTATGTGGAAAGACAGTCAATCGGGGTGGAGGTCTTGGTATGGAAATACCATGTGTTTACATTTTTGATGGTCCTCGGAAACACGTGGATTTACTTGAACAATTACTAGACGTTAGCAACGTTAAAGCTCGCAGCAAGCAAACAACGTCAAAGAGGAAGAAGTTTAAGAGCAATGACTGCAACAAAAAGCCAAGGAAGTGAAACTTGTGTAACAGGAGGCACAAAACTTTATTAAAGGACTATACGTAGTACAAGAGTCAAACACCGGAAGAAAGACAGATTGTTCAAAATCAAATATGTCACGCTACTTTGTTACTGTTTTTTTTCTAGTCATGTAATAAAATTTTATTCACCCGTAAAAATCTGTCATTATTTGAACAGGGTACAATGTCTACAATTGTCACATAATTGTGACAATGAAAATAGACAGTGTGCAAATAACCAGTGTCCGTAAAGCGTTGTTGACAATATATGAGAGTTTGTGACTTGGGACACAGAAGTGTCCGTTGTCCGTATTAACCGGTGTCCTTATAAAGCGGGTTAATTTTAGAGAAAATATATGAGCTTTTTGTCGGGACAAACGAAACAGTCCGTATTAAGCGAGTGTTCGTAGAGCGGGGTTCCACTGTAATCAGATTATGGAAGAGATGGTATTAAAGAGTCTAGTCCTTACAATGTTGACTAGTCATACTTCTTGCACCACTGAAATATATGTACATACGCCTTCCCATTTTGCTGAGAAGAGAATCGTTGTCCCAGTTTGTAGGATTACTATGAAAGTAAACGCTCAAAAGCTTAAGAAATGTAAACGTAAAGGTGTGTAACAGTGGTGAGAGGCCTTTTTAGCCACGAACAATTAATATCGCAGTCGCTATATTTCTCAGATTTTTTTTTTGAGTTTAGTCAATTTACCATAGATTCAAGCGGGAATAATACAGAAAATAACTAAAAAACAGATCAGTGCTTTTTTCCTCGTTCTACATTGTACGTGTGGTGTATACATACCACCTTAACTCAAAACTGTGTTTTTAACAAATTTTTTTCAGCACAGAAGCCCGAAACGGCTGTTGTTGTTGACATTCAACATGGACGTTTCAAGAATTTTACAGATAATGTCATAAAACTGTCAGATGACGAAACAAAATGGACTGGTTTATTAGCTAGTGAAAATAACCGCGCTATGTTTTCGGGCCCTGAAAAGTTGCCAGGACTTAACTAACGGGCCCTTGGGCCCCGGCCAACTTTCGTCGCCGGTGAACTGGGAATGAGATGCTGTTTCCTTGGTAACTTATATGAAAACTCAGAAGTTTTGGACACGTGATAACAATTATTGCTTAGCAACAGGCAGTCAACACCCGGGTGTTTCATAAGAAAGGCGGCCATCTTTCGAGAGAGCAGTGTGTTGGATTTACAGTGAGATTAGCGTTCGATTTGTTAAACATTTAATCATGGCTATGCAAGTTGGTTCACACAGATTCGAGGGTGAAAGAGAAAGCATTTATAATTTGATTCCAAAAATTCAAGAAAGGCCTCCTAAGCCGACGATGTGAGTGACTATTTTCCAGTTTTCCAATCGACTGTACATCGATTTTCATCGGTGACATGTCTCTCCATCTTTTACTAACTATCTTTATTTTTACAATGTACCTAAGACTAACATTTTCAAACGTTTTTCCGACAGGTATCGCTCCAATTTCTCCACCAATGTGCGACAAGAGGTCAAGACGAACAAGCAGAGCTCGAAAACGATGGTGAGTTATAAACTTAAGCTTTTGCTTTGAGTTGCGTTTGTTGTTATGAGAATAAACAAATTGGGCAAAAGAATGTTAATCGTGCTCAATATTTTTTTGCTTTGTTAAGAATAAAGTTCCTTTCTTTTAGGGGCCACCGAAAGTTGCGCTTACGGGGCCGAAAGAGTTTTTGGCGAAGCATTCGAAGGAACCTAGGTTACCAGAAAGTAAGCATACACCGTTCACTTTAGTACTCAAGCTAATTTATGATAGTAGTTTGTTGCTTTGATTCGAGCTTTAGCTTGTATTTCGCTACATGTATTTCGGTTTTAGCTTGAGAAGGAACAATTTGGAGACAAATTATCCAAACAATTTTGTGTTCCTCTTTGAAAAGGCTACTTGGCTTGTGTATTATTCAAAAGTCGTGCTTAGCGTTTTTGGGTATGGTACACATCGATGCGATACAAGCTAGACAGCCCTTAAGTTAATGTATACACGGAGGAGAGTAAGACCTCTGCCTTATTTTGGCCGTAGCACAAGTAGAGTTGGATTATTGCAAAATTCTTTTTTTTTTAAATCTGTGCCTGCGGTTGTGAACAACAAGAAGCTTATTGTATATAGTTACACAACAGAATGCTAATTAGATTATAATTTTTATTTGTTAGAGACTGGTTTCAAGTATCCGGACCACGATACCAGACGCCCTCCTGTTCCAAAACATGATGAAAAACCTCTTATGGGGCTACGTTCAAACAAAGACCACATCAAGACAAATGCTGTGGAAAATATCATGTCTGTACCAAGGAAACCAGAGAAAAAATTTGCTGACACTCGAGCAGGTGCAACGCACCCACTTGATCCGTCAGGATTGACACCTAAGTATGTCAACAAGAAAGATTTTGGCAAAACTCCGGCCTATTTAGAGAGAAGGAAAGCTGAAGTAGAAAGAGCCCAGAAGGAATATGATGCCTATGTTCAAGAACGATTTAGGCAAGGTGCCATGAAGAGCTTAACAGAAAACGAAAGGTAACGGAGAATTTTACAGTTGACATTTGCTTTTGCCCATCAAAGTTGTAAAGACCAGTTTGTTGTGAGAGTGTTGAAAAGAAGCAAATTTTAATTGGTGTTAGTTTTTCTCACAGAATAGTAATGCAGATATAATAATAATAATNTCTCACTATTAACCACGTAATGGTTGGCTCAACTGGTTAAGAGGTGGATGAGTAACATACTCTGGTTTGATCTGCCCTGCTGGACAAACACTTGCAGGGTTAATTGCTGCCTTTGCTAGGATATCTGTGAATGGTTAGATTTTCTATTCTTCACTCCCCATCAACTTTAATGATAGTAATAAAAAGACAATGTGCATGTATTATCCATCACCCTGGCTGTTGTTTCAGGAAATATCAGGGTACAAAGAAAGCCAGTGTTACAGCTTGCCTTTTCAGCAAGATGTCATAGCATATACTAGCCCAGGAGTCTTTTCAACTAGCCCCAAAAACTATTTGATGAGCAGTATTGATTACACAGATTTTCTGTACTTTAAGTTACTCAAAAAAACTTAAGGAAGTTAAGAAAAAAATTCTAGCCCATGGCAAAATTAACTAGTGCCAAGCTATGCACTGCTTTCCTTGCACACTGAATATCAAAGCACTTTTTTATGCCATATTTTATAATTTTTTTTCCAAAGAAAACCTCTTAGATGTTTTCTTAAGCAGTTGTTATTTTATTATCCCCCTACAGACAAGGAATACTTGATGGACTAAAAAAGAATTGGGAAGAACTACATCACCAATACCAAGGCCTATCAGTGGTTACAGACACAGCACCCAAGAAAGCACGCAAAGAACGAATGGAAGCTGAAATGAAACAACTAGAAAGAGACATTGAAACTGTTGAAAAACACAAAGTTATATACATTGCAAATCCTTTCTAGACAGAATACTTAATTTGTTTTATTAGATGCTCCTACTCAGTATGTTTTTTCTTGATTCCCTCCAAGGCTTATAATATTCTGCAGTTTGATTCGGAAAGTTATGTTTATCTAATTAAAATCAGGTTAATCTGCAAGCATTAAAAAAGAAAGTTGAGAAAGTTGCCCTCTGATGCAACATTAATTTGTAAATAATATTGTACAAAGTATTTTATTAAAAATTCTCTGAATGAAAATAGTGTCTCTTTTGTGTTTTATGGAAAAGCAATACAGTCAACTCTGTTAAAAGCAGGCATTGTGAAATGAACCAGAAAAGCTAAAATGCACCCAATTTGGCATTCCCTGGTTAGTTACAGGTGACCCAAGCTCATGTTATGAGGGTGGAATGTAATTTCTATTGACGCAAGCGAGTCAGTATCATGTTACAAGTGATTGTTGAGATGTACGAATAAAAAAATACTGAGGTATAACTATCTTTTATTTTACACTTTAATCAATAAACTAAATAAGGAAGATTATCTTTGTAGCATTTCTGTGTGTTTCCATGTGGATTCATATCTTTAGGCCAGTTTTTTGCTCCATTGCGTTACCCCCGTAATTCCTTTCATAAGACTTTGTTGTCATCTTTGTTAATGATAACAGTTTATTTTCAATTTCAAGGATTTTCAGTAAGTTGAGTGCCTGTCTAATATTTTCTTAAAAACCAGGCCCAAAATTGAAAAATGGGTTGTTACCAAGCACAGATATCCTTAGACAAGCAAGTTTCAATCAGATTCTCTTCTGCATGTTTTCTTCTGCCATGTGAGTTGCCATGGTTATCCAAGTACATATACAGTGAAACCTGTATCAAGCAGACACCCTCTAACAAGCAGACAGTAGCCCAAGTCCCAAAATTTATTTCCCTTATTTGCTTTAAATGAAACCTTTCTTAAGTGGACACAGGGACACCTAAAAAGTACCTGCATGAAATGGTCATTTCCATTGTTACCAACCTGTATTAAATGGACACTTGTAATCAAATGCCACCACTATTGTTACCAACCTGTATTAAATGGACACTTGTAATCAAATGCCACCACCCAACATGCCAGATTGCCTCAAATTGCCACCCACAAATTTTTGTATTTTTACATTAAAAAAACATGACTTGACAAACATATTTGATTAGTTTCACAGTATAGTATTGTTTTCTATTCTGTTTTGTTTGTATAGAGCTTGTTTCACTCCTCTTCAAATTTGAGTCACAATCTATGTTTATGGTATTATGATCAACTGGTCCACGTTATCTATTGAAACCTGTATTAGGCGGACACCCTGTATTAAGCGGACACTACAGCATTCCCTGAGGGTGTCCACTTAATACTGGTTTCACTGTACTAGTCTTTATATTCTTCAACCGTATACTTTCATAAGACTATTAGAAACCATACTGAATCATGATACCCAGCAGTTTATAAATGGATTTTCCCAACCTCAGGGGCACCCAACAAGAATATAGTTCAAAACCACTTAAAAAAAGCATTGTTAAACGTATTTTAGTATTTAAACGGTAGATATAGGCATATTTTTATCCCCTAAAAATTTTTCATCTGTTCGGATTTCCTAGCTGAAAGTCTAGTGATCCGAAAATTATAGGGATCAAAACTCATCTTTTCGAAAATTCCAGCTTGAAAAAAGGCTCCCGAAAATTCTAGGTGACCTTTTTAGGGTAAAAATCCGTTAAAAATAGGGAATTATACAATTTTTTAGATGTTCGAAAATCTTAGGAGAGGCAGGAATGCAGGAAGTTTTACAACAAATGCTCCGAAAATTCTAGATCTCAAATCGTCTTCCGAACAGATATTTTCCGAAAATTGTCGTTGGGTGCCCCTGCAACCTCAACCTACAGAGTAAAAAAGTGTTCTGCTCCCCCCCTTCAAGGGGATGTAGAACTTTTAAGCCCCCCCCACCCTCTCCCCCTCATGCTGATGAATGATGACTCCCTAAGCAAAACCTATCATCTACAATCCTCCTGCAAACAATGAATCAAAACAAAAAAGCCATAATCCACCACAAGCTTTACTGTTATCTAGATCTCTTTTTATGGATGTACAACACATTTTCTTCAATAAATGCTAATGTTCTGGGAACTAAACATCTTACAGTTATGATTATAATGACAATTACAAGGACAACAAGTCTCCAGACATGCCATGGAACACCAATAAATAGCTCCTCCAGAACTGAAAAATAAACAAAGATTATGAATCACCAAAAAGAAAATCTCCTACGGACAAAGTTGAACTCCACATAGTGCCCAACCAAACAGGAGACGATGCCTTACCACTTATCCTGGGTCTACCGCTGTATGCATGCAACAATAGATTTCAAACAAGGGAAAATAAAACTAAAAGCAAGGGCAAAATTTGCTAAAGAATTATGTAATAAAATTCTAAAGGACTGTCAAGATGCTGGGTATTATATGCAATTATGTAGTTTGTTTGTTTGTTTTTTTCCTGTGAAATAGTCAGGGTCATGCTAGTGGGAGAAATCCCTCGCCCCCAGAATTGATTGACAGCCCTGCAAAGTGAAAGAAAAATTTAACACCTAGCAAGAAACATGAAATGAGAGGTTGCTCTATTTTTGCACTTCACTTACAATGTTAGAGAAGGCTAGAAGGCTAGTTTGAGTTATTCAAAATAAAATAGCAGAGAAGGGCACACTTACACCTACCTATGTTGTATAATACAGGTTCACCTAAACTAGCAGGGTTCAATGGCACTCCAGTCCTTATGGCTGTAACATTTGCAAACTGCTCCTGCAAATAAATTCCATGATAAGCAGCCATGTATCACAGCCCAAACCAAAACTTCTGCCGAAGTTGTAGAAATTTACAGTGAGATTAGCGTTCGATTTGTTAAACATTTAATCATGGCTATGCAAGTTGGTTCACACAGATTCGAGGGTGAAAGAGAAAGCATTTATAATTTGATTCCAAAAATTCAAGAAAGGCCTCCTAAGCCGACGATGTGAGTGACTGTTTTCCCGTTTTCCAATCGACTGTACATCGATTTTCATCGGTGACGTGTCTCTCCATCTTTTACTAACTATCTTTATTTTTACAATGTACCTAAGACTAACATTTTCAAACGTTTTTCCGACAGGTATCGCTCCAATTTCTCCACCAATGTGCGACAAGAGGTCAAGACGAACAAGCAGAGCTCGAAAACGATGGTGAGTTATAAACTTAAGCTTTTGCTTTGAGTTGCGTTTGTTGTTATGAAAATAAAGAAATTGGGCAAAAGAATGTTAATCGTGCTCAATAATTTTTTGCTTTGTTAAGAATAAAGTTCCTTTCTTTTAGGGGCCACCGAAAGTTGCGCTTACGGGACCGAAAGAGTTTTTGGCGAAGCATTCGAAGGAACCCAGGTTACCAGAAAGTAAGCATACACCGTTCACTTTAGTACTCAAGCTAATTTATGATAGTAGTTTGTTGCTTTGATTCGAGCTTTAGCTTGTATTTCACTACATGTATTTCGGTTTTAGCTTGAGAAGGAACAATTTGGAGACAAATTATCCAAACAATTTTGTGTTCCTCTTTGAAAAGGCTACTTGGCTTGTGTATTATTCAAAAGTCGTGCTTAGCGTTTTTGGGTATGGTACACATCGATGCGATACAAGCTAGACAGCCCTTAAGTTAATGTATACACGGAGGAGAGTAAGACCTCTGCCTTATTTTGGCCGTAGCACAAGTAGAGTTGGATTATTGCAAAATTCTTTTTTTTTTAAATCTGTGCCTGCGGTTGTGAACAACAAGAAGCTTATTGTATATAGTTACACAACAGAATGCTAATTAGATTATAATTTTTATTTGTTAGAGACTGGTTTCAAGTATCCGGACCACGATACCAGACGCCCTCCTGTTCCAAAACATGATGAAAAACCTCTTATGGGGCTACGTTCAAACAAAGACCACATCAAGACAAATGCTGTAGAAAATATCATGTCTGTTCCAAGGAAACCAGAGAAAAAATTTGCTGACACTCGAGCAGGTGCAACGCACCCACTTGATCCGTCAGGATTGACACCTAAGTATGTCAACAAGAAAGATTTTGGCAAAACTCCGGCCTATTTAGAGAGAAGGAAAGCTGAAGTAGAAAGAGCCCAGAAGGAATATGATGCCTATGTTCAAGAACGATTTAGGCAAGGTGCCATGAAGAGCTTAACAGAAAACGAAAGGTAACGGAGAATTTTACAGTTGACATTTGCTTTTGCCCATCAAAGTTGTAAAGACCAGTTTGTTGTGAGAGTGTTGAAAAGAAGCAAATTTTAATTGGTGTTAGTTTTTCTCACAGAATAGTAATGCAGATATAATAATAATAATTATAATAATAATAAAACCTTTTCTATTGAGGGTAGCACTTAATTCTCCTGATAATCTACACATGGCTTTCAGAAAAAATTAAATAAATAATAAAATAAAAAATGCAATAATCAATCAAAAAGCTATGAATCATTCCACTCTGAAATAGAGTACAGTATTAATAAATTGTCTAGTGGACACCTGTTAACCTGGGCTAGT